TTGCTGCCTCCTGTACAATGTTACGAGCCTCTATCCAAAGTTCTTCAGGCACTCTGTCCACCAAATCGAGTTCCTTAAATCTGTTCTTTACTTCCACTGTGTACAGTGGGGTCTTGACTTGAGAACTGAATCCGTATTGGAAGGCGGTTCTCAAGTCAAAAAGTTCTCAGGTCAAATCTGCATTTCCCATAGGAATGCATTGAAAACCATTTCATCCGTATCTGCTCTTTTCCGTCCATAGAAACTAATGGGAAGCTGCTATTCTGCCTTCGACCACTAGAGGGGGATATTTTGTTTCTTTTTTTCTTAGGTCAAGAAAGGTTCAGGGAAGGCAGGGAAAATACAGTCCAGGCAGTACCAGGCAGTCTGAAGACTCCCAATCCACTCTCTAAATGCTGGGAGGAGTGAGGAAGCAGACAGGCACCCTTTTCACTGGCCAACAGTTAACTGAAAGTTCACATTTTGCACTTTCCCTGCCTCCCACGTGATTTTTTTCAGTTCTTAACTAAAATCTAAGTATGTAAGTCAAGTCAATATTTTCCTATGAGAGTGGTTCTTAAGTCAAAATGTTCTTAACTCAAGCCGTTCTTAAGTCAAGACCCCACTGTATTCATAAGGGATTTGGTTTAGATTATACCTGAGTAGCCCAGTGGTTTTTCCTACTCTCTTCAGTGCCTTATTCCCATGTAAATGTGTAATGAATTGTGATGTTGGTGTCAGATTTAAACTGTCTTATGGGAACAGAGGATATGTCAAAGATACAAGCTGACATCTAATAATCTATCAAGGCATCATTTTAATATATCTTGTACTGTGAGAGTATAAGATTTGGAAGATCACTTGTCAAAACTACTTTCTTGCTTAGCATTGATGTTGATTTTTCAAAGGGAATGTCCTTTCATATGATTTTGACCCTTTCTAATTAGTTCCCCTTCTGTTATAAAGACAGTTTAGTACCCAGATTCCAACTACAGATCTCAGAGGGGAAATGTTATATACCTAGCTCCTGGCTTTTTCTGTGGCTTGCACTTTTGGAGTTTTAGTTCTAATTTTAGAAGTGTCCAGGGCTTCTGGTGCCTGATGTACCCTTGTGAAACAGGTTCCAAGAACTTCATCCAAGTTAAGCTCTTCCTTGCTTGGAAGATCTGACCTTTAACCAGATACTGAGTGCTGAAAATTATTTCCTGTAGAGTATTTAAAATCAGCTTGTATTCTTGCAGTTTAAGGAAGGGGGGGAACTGTTTCAGTGTTGCTTTTGAAAATTACACAGGTGGAGGCGTCCTAGGAACTAGATATTGCTTTTGTTTTGCGTTTGCTTTGTTTGTTTATTTTTTGACATTATGCCACCACCTTTGTGCTGTGTGTCTTCATTTGACAGAAGTAATGGCTATCTATGTACAGAGCTGAGCCAGAGTTTACATTGGCTCCTTCCTTCATTGCACTAGTAGGGACAGTAGAGGAATATGAGCAGACTTTCTTCTAACATTGCATAGAAGCAGGAGGTTCTTAGACATGTGGGAGATCTAAGAAGCTTCTGAATTGGTGTCATTTAATTCCAAATTTTTCAGAACATCCAGAAGTGGAAAGATGTAGAAAGTTCAACAAAACCTCAGACTTATCTGGATTGCATTTGATATTTTTGCAAAGCATCACAGTGCCACCTGGTGTGCCTGAGAAAATGAAGTGGTAGTTCAAACATTGACCTGTTCTGTTCTGATATTTTAGATGTCACATAACTAGACAAACCATTGATCTTAATATTTGTAATAGCTTTGTTTAGTGATGTCATATTTAAATGTATTTAACAGATTTTTCCCCCAAGCCCAAGTGTTGTGTGTCCTAGTTTCTGCATTGGAAAATGGGCTGTTTCAAGGCTGATTTGGAATATAGTCCTTCTCTTCCAGAGGGAAGTATTATTGTTTGCATTCACCTTTCACAGCATGGGGGTGTCTTTATTCAAGGGAAAACACACTTCTTGGAAACATTGGAGCATGAATCTGTTATTTTACATACTATACTTGTATTAAATGGTGAGTGTCCTCTTCAATGCCTACGCTTGGGAAGAATCTGTTAGTGCACAGGATACACACACAAATTTGGAAGATATGGATATTTGAATATCAGTCATCCCTGCATACAGTTGCATGGTAAAACACTTGTACAAGACTTTAAAAACATATAATGATCATATAATTGGATATATTCCACGATAACAACCTATGCAGAGTCAACGTCAAGAACGGAGAACAATGTATAAAGATTTTGAGTGACTGAGGAATTAGAGGTTTGGAATATTTAAAATTCTACATTATTAGTTGGTATTAATATGCTGTAATAGATCTTTATTCCCTGTGTCTTCTCACAGGGATGAAGATGCATCTGTTTTGATGGAGGATTCCATGTGAGGTTTCATACGTTTCCCAAGTGTTTGTGTTAATGGAGGCTGTCACACATGTGTTGGTGGTGTTTCTCTGTACCGGTATGGTTCCTGCTTTGTCAATAATGTCATCCTTCCTTTTTAAAAATTATCTCATCTTTAGGTTTACTGGAGAGAGGACAAGGAGTCAAAAGGCTAAGTTCACTTGACGACAAAATTCCACCTAAGTCACCACGTCCACGACGCAATATCTGGTTATCACGCAGTCAGTCAGACATCTTCTCTCGTAAGCCTTGCCGCAAGATAAATGTTCAAGACCCCTACTACACACCAAGCAAAGGGGCAAACCGTAAAGTTAACCCCTTCAATTCTAGGGAAGACTTGAAAGGGGGAAAGATCAAATTTTTTGATATGCCAAGCAAATCAGTGATATCACTTGTATTCGACTTGCACTCCCCAGAGGCAGGTGGATGTTTGAAGATGAGCCAGCCTCTTTTCAGGCCAACCTATAGTACTGACTGGCAAGAAAATTCCTTCTTTTCTGGGAAACGGAGCAGATCCCTTCCAGTCTCTCCTGAACTTATGCATAAAGATTACAGCACATTTGGGGATCTCTCTTCAACTGTTAGTAGATGTGATCCTAGTCATCTAGGAGCAGAAGTGCGACAGAAGCTACTGAGCAGCAGTAAGTATAGTGTGTCTGAGATCCCTCCTTTTCAGGCCAAACACCAGAGGCAGGAATCACCACCTCTTCTGCCAGAGGAAGATATGGACTGTTCAGATGAATTGGAACCCCAAGATGAAAATGGTTTCTGTCCTGTAGAAAGTTCACCTGAAGAACTGGAACTCAGAAAGGCCATGGGACAACCTCTGCAAGATGCCCAGAATGTTGATGTTATCTTGGTACAGAATTTAGACAATTCAGAAGATAAGTCCTTGGAGATGTCTGTAAGTTGCACCACCTCTGAAGACATGGAGGTGGAAGATGAAACTCAAAGAAATATGCCTTCTACTAGGTTGGAGTCTTCCAAACTATCATTCAGTGCTAATCTTTCCTCACAGCCAGGCAGAGAATCTTCTCTTTTTGAAGCAGTGGATAGTAATGTCTCAGACGTTGTTTCTCTGCCATCTTCAAATGCACCAGCACCAGTAAGTGAACAGGCAAAATGTGACATATAAATTCTAGCCATGGTACCATGGTGATAAACTCCTTCCATCTTCTTTGATTTTACTCCTCAGTCAAAACATTCTAGGAAAGTGTAGCAACAAACTCATACTTTTGGAGGTTGCAGAATGTGTTTGGAAAACTGCACACATTAAATTTGTTAAATAATCAACTATTGGCTTACCTCAGGAGGCAGCTACTGCAGGCAAAAGGAGTGAGCCATATTTCTGCAGAATGGCTGAGTCAGTGCAAGGCCATACTTTATGAGGATGAAGTGTGCTTTCTCAGTCTCCTTTGCCCTCTCCTGTTGTTTCTTCATCTGTCCTGTTCAGTAAGTTCTCAGGGTCTGTGGACGGAAATCATGAAAACATAATTTTCATTTTTGAACATCCGTAACACACTTTCCTTCTCTCTGTAGCAATTGCTGAGCAGAACATAAATGGCTTCTTGTGTGAGACACAAAAAGATATTTGAAACTGGCAGTGCTCTGATATCCTAGATTGGCAGTGGGGAAAACAATCTCTAAATGTTGTTAGACTACAGTTCCCATCATCTCATCATGGTTAGCCATGATGTGGGAGCTGGGTGGCCACTGGTTCTCCAGCTTGCCCTAGATAGACAGGAGGAAGTGTAAATGTTTCTTTCTTTGATGCAATGACAAAGTTCAGTATGCTAGTTTGAAATGTACAGTACTCTTTTATTTCTTGAACAAGGTCAGACCTGGTTCTAGTAGCTTAAGTTTCCTAGTTCTTCCAGTTTTGGTTAAAAACACTGGAACTGAACATTTCAGGTTTCCACTTTAGCATTTTGTGACCAGTTACTGCTTACCTTTGGCCACAATTGAAATTCTAACCAAATGGCTGTTCAATAAATTTGATTTCTATTGGGTAAAAAAGGATAAGTGGCCAAGTGATCACACTTCTGTATCCTGTTGGTTCTACATTGCAGGATAAATGAAGCATATGTCGATGTAAATCTCTGATATGAGAGATCTTAAAGGTAGACCAGCCACTCTTCAGCAACATTGTCTTACAATGCAGCTCCTTCAGTCATTGCCCATGCACATCAGATAGATATACACAGAGAACCTTGGTTTATATGTTCAGTTTGTTTAACTTCTGTGTGTATTGCACCTGAAATTCCTCAGATTGAAGGGATTTGCATGTTGCTTTCTGGCTGTTGCCTGTTTGTATTAACCTCCCTCTGAACCATCCAGACCAGCAATGTGTGCTTGAAAGTAGAGAGAGGTTAGTATAGATGATGTGAGAGGAATTGGGCCATCTCTAATCTCTTGTTTTAATAATGTAACTAGTGAGAACTCCTCTGTGGGGAAGAAATCAAAAGCAGTGCTGCCTCCTGATGTTCATAAGTTTCCTCATATCCACTTCTTAAAAATGAACAATAAAAAGGAGGAAAACTCCCAGAAGTATCAAGCAATAATGTGGGAATCGTAGAATGATACTAAAATCTTGAAGAGCAAGTAGCTTCCTGCTTAAGAATTATTTACTGAACAATTGGAAGTAGTAAAAATGCGTTACAACCTGTGCTTATTTATGTAGAAGCCCTTGAAACCATCCAGCTTCTTTTAGGGCAAAGATAGATGGTTATCCTCCCATGGTCCGTTAGATTATTCTACAGCAATACTATATTCTACTAGGAGGAACCAATATAACAGTTACCCATATACATCTCTTTTTTATTTGAAAGACAAATATGTATGAATTACCAGCTTCTAATGCACTTTGGATTTGGTGTTACACCCCCATCCCCAAGTGAAAGAGGTTGGTGCATGGCTGGTGAGAGAACTAAGTGTTTTCTTCCTGTGGGCCCTCCAACAACCCTGTGTAGCCTTTGTATGCTTTACTTGTGCTCTTAATGGATGTGATGGTTTAATGTTAGATCAAAAAGCACACCTTTGAATACAAGGCCTCCACAATTCCTCTGTTCATTTTTCCTGCTTACATGCAATCTTTCTGGGCTTTCTGCCAACATCTGACTAGGGGTGGTAGCCTCTCTAGGGAAGTGTGGCAAGGGTTTATGTGGTACTCTGCATTTTAACAGAATGCTGGGGCAAGAGCCATTACAGAAAATATGAAGTTTTCTCTATTCACATTGGAGTGAAAAGGGGCTAGCTTATTTAAAAAAACCTTAGATGAAAGCCATTTGTTGTTGTTACATGGTGAAAATTTAATGTATACCGTCCCATTGTGCAGCATGTAAGAGACCTCAGTCTCTCACATACGCAATCTAAAAGCCAGTATTTCAGAGCAGGTGTTGGCCATTTGCTGTGCTCAGTACAGAATGTGGTCATATAAATGCAGTGCTTTGTACAAATACATTAATGAGTAGCTTTGCTTTTATCATGTTTTTGATTCGCTGATGGAGATGCATCTTGCTTTTTATAAGCCATCTGCAGACACTTCTAAAATCCCCTATCTGTTTTTAATTCACTTGATCTTTCTATATTGCATTTATTAAACATATATTAGAAGGTATACTTGTGGCTGATTGATGAAAGAAGCCTGTGTGAATAGATGTACATAACAAATTGCTGCCCCAGCAGAAGACAGGGGTATGATAGGTTTATTCTTGGTTGCTGTATCTTGTCCAAGAACACTGGTACTTCTTGCCAGTTTAACTACAGACACTTGAATAATTCCTCTTTGCACTTAATGCTGCTGTTTATACTGCATGTCACTACATTTCTATGCAAAAATAACCTTTGGGGCAGCCAAATATTTGATTAAGGTTTAAAGGTCTGTGCAAGATCTATTTTCATATTTATGAAGGAATTTTATGTCTTAATATTTGCAGTCTGTAAATAGCTAAACTTTGTCATTAAAGCTTAGGAAAAAAGTTTGTAGCCTGTGCATAATTTAACACTGCCAGAAAAGAATTTTTGCAAACCATATTTTCTAAACTGCAGGTATTTATGAATGTGTAAAGAAAGCAAATCTTGGTTTTTATATTGATTTATTTTGTCTGATTTTTTTTCCTGAAGTATGGAATGGAATGTTTTACTGGAACTGAACTAAGCAACCAAAGATGAATTGAGTTTAAAGTATTTGCATATGTTTTCTTTGTCAACTTTTGTTAACTGTTTCCCAATTTGCTTTCAAAATAAAAACAAATAAATTTACTTTTGTGGTTGAGAAGAGATAAAGCTAAAGAGAGAGAAGGGAGGAATATTAGTACTGTACTATAACATGTATGTTTAAAAGCAAAAATTATATTATTTGGTGGTTCTTCACTATTATGTGCTAGCTTCTGTCTCTTTAAGATGATAGGCTTCTCCTCCTGGGTAAATGTCTGATTTCATGAGCAATTGCATAGGTAGTTTCCCCTGTTCTGCAACTGATCTAATATTTTTTCATGTAGGAAAGAGAGTACAATATTGGTGGATTATCCTGATGCTTTTCTTCTAAGCATTTCTGTCACATTTCTCTGTACCCAAATTGAAATTCTGCTGCTTAGAAAAATACTTTTCCCTAGAATAGCAATCTTTCTTTCCTTTTAATATATTTATAAACAGTTGCTCATAAAAACCGTGCTGTATCAAACTATAAACGTGTTTCTACTAGGGTAAGTCAGATGGTTTCAGCTGAAAAGCACATTGAAATGCAAGACATAGACAATAGTCCTCCCTATCAGCTGGAACTCAGAGGCATATATCTGTGAAGATTCTCAGTCATCCAAGTGAGGTAATCTGGAAGTTGAGTCATGGCAACCGGACTTCTTTTTTATTAGGTTGAAACTTTTCAATACTCATCCGTAGCTTCTTCAGTCTGAGGAGAGTTAGTAGGAGATCCCTGATGCATCCTCCACATTGGTTTCACTTCCTCGTGGTCTGAATAGGCTCATTAGACAGACAAAGGATTTGGGGGGGGGGGTGAGTGAAAAGGCATAATGCTTCTGGACTTTGGGTTCCTTTGATTTGTATAACTATGTTCCAAAAGTTCCCTAATATAATGATCACTGCCACGTTTTGCATCTACAAAGTCAGTGACATATATAAAGAACTTTTTTGTTACTGTCCTGAATCAACTGTCGGTCACTGTCATCGATCTTGAGTTTTGGTGTGATGAAAAAATAAGATTGTTGCTTCTTTTTCTACCTGGCCTTACAAAGAAAGCAAAAATTACTTTTTGGACTCAAGCCCCAGAATACACCCACCAACATAGTCATTGGCAGTGGTATTCTGGGAACTGTAGTCCAGAGAAGTATGTTTTCCAGTCCCTATTAGGGAAAATATAACTCAGCTGAAATGCCCCAAATACTTTAGTCTTTCCTTATACAGAAGATACTTCCATCTTGGTTTCATCACCTCTAATATTCTTTCAAAAATTAAATTCTTTAACATCACAATTTATCTTGCAGCTGCTGCTAAACTAACAATTTAATGAAAATATCTATCCAGCTGCAAGATCCCTTTCTCCCTTTTTTGGAGGGAGGCCTGGAGAGAAAGAACAAGAAATCAGGCCACTCACCTTTGAGAACAGTCTGCCTGCAGAGATCTGCCTGGCTCACTCACTGGATATTTTTAAGAGCAAACTTAAAACCCGGCTCTTTAGGCAGGCTTTCCCTCCTCTCATCACCTAATTAGTTTTGCGATCTTGCATTATATTATTACAGGTGTTTTTATTATATTGTTTTTACAGTACTTTTATGAATTGTTAGCTGCCCAGAGTAGACTTCAGTCTAGATGGGTGGGGTATAAATTGAATATAAACAAACAAACACAAGTAGTTCAGCACTTATCAGTGTGCATCTGAGGTTGAGGGGAGGGTAAGTGGAAGCTTGACATTTCACTGCCTGTTTATCCAGACTGGCAGTAACTAACTAGAGGTATTTGAGTCATCTTGGGCTTTCATTTTTCTGACTAATTTTGTGTCATTTGCAGACTGATTCCTAATTTCACATCAGTTATGACGCAGCTGAGCATCATTGACTCCACTAATAGAGCCTTGGGAGACCAGAATGGTTTAATATCTAACGACTGTTTTATTTTCTTTAACTAATTGTGTGCTGTCAGGTTGCCCCAACTTAAGGTGACCTAGGAATTAATGACTTCCTATCATTAGCAACCCTTACAAGCTCAAGCCTTTAGTTTCCTTTCTTGAGTCAATCTGTCTCTCATTTGGTATTCCTCTTTTCCTGCTGCCTTCAACTTTCCCCAGCATTATTGTCTTTCCCAGTGAGTTTTGTGTTTTCAGAGTGCACCCAAAGTATGACAGCCTCAGTTTTACTATTTTGCTTCTAGAAGGAGTTCAGGCTTGATTTAATGTACCACCCAGTTCTTTGTGTTTCTGGTGGTCTATTGTATCTGTAAAGCTCTCCTCTGGCACTGTATTTTCAATGAAACAGCCTTTTCCCTTTGCTTCTGCACTGTACAGCTTTTACATCTATACATAGTAATTGGAATATAATAATATGGATTATCTTGGCCTTGGTCTCCAATGTCACATCTTTACACTTTGACAATCCTTTCTAATTCCTTTATAGCTGCTGTTACAAGTCTCAGTCTTCTTCTGGCTACAGTCTCCAGGTAGTTTGATGACTAAACATCCTTCACAATTTCAGTTCCTTCACTGACAACATTACATAGTTACATAGTTCTCTTGTGGTGATGATTTTTTACTTAATGTTCAGCTGCTGTATAGATTTTGTACTTCAGCTGGTTACTGAGTTGTAAAGGTATCTGAACACTCTTAAAGCTTATTTAAAGTGTTCAGGAAATCAAAATGTACAATTAGACCCTTATCCAATTTGATGGCACACTGGAAGGAACAAAGTGTAGTGAAACAGAATGGATTTTTACAAAGTATGTTATTTCATATTTAAAACTTTTACTCCTGTGTCGTTAATTATGTCTTCTATCATACTTTTTCCCAATTAACTGAAGGAGGCATTTCACTAACAGGCCTGTCATTTCCCTGGTTTCCGAGAGGTCCTTCGGCGCTGTTGTCAGTTACATAGGACTGGGATACAGAGCTATTAGATTCACATGGGAAATAATGTATCATTAAACTTTTGCTAACATGTGAGAGGGCCTTAATTTGTCAAGATAATATAAAACTGAACCTTATAATTTGTGCATGTTGGCAATGTATAATATTTACATTTAGATATCATGAAATACTACAATACTGCTGATCTGGTTAGATAGTTCAGTGAGTTAGGTATCTGGCTGCACAGCCAGAGGTTGGAAGTTCAGTTCCCCACTCTGATCTCAGAAGAGCCAGCCTGTGTGGCCTTGGGCAAGTTGCACAGTAGAGTAGCCGCCCTGAGTAGACTTTGTCTAGAGGGCGGGGTATAAGTCCAAATAAAGTAAAGTAAAGTAAGTAAAAGATGCTCCCAGTAGAAGGGAAAGATAAATTGCTTCTGAGTACTTTCTACTGTAGCTATATGGCAGGACAATGGTAGAAAAATCATGGGAGCTTCATCTTTAGCAACCTCTTAAAGGTAGACAAAAGGGGGGCAGATCCAATAGTTAATTCCAAGCCAAGAATGCCCAACTTGTTCTTGATGATTTTGTGGCTTCCTTCGACATGGCCACCTGCAGGAGCATTGCTTGTGCAGATCTGGAAGTGCAGGTGGATGATCTTGGGGAAAGGTGCTTTGGCAAGTAACAAGGTCCCAAACTGTGAAAGGCTTTGTAGGTGAGCACCAGAATCTTGAACTTGACCTGGAACACCACAGATAGCCACAGCAGGCAGGCCAGAACTGGGGTGATGTGGTCAAATTTACCCACTTCCACCACCAGTCTGGCAGCCACATTGTACACCTGTTGAAGTCTTGGGGTCAATTTCAAGGGAAGCCCCACGTAGAGACTGTTACAGTAGTCGGTAGCACCTTAAGATTTTAAATAGTTCAACTGGAATGTCATCACCTCTACTTGTCTTGTTGTTAGCCATGCTTTCTAAGTCCCACTTGACTTCGCTCTCCAGGATGTCTGGCTCAAGGTCAGCAACCACAGTATGTGGGTTGTCCGGGACATCCAGGTCTTTCTGGTATAATTCTTCTGTGTATTCTTGCCACCTCTTCTTGATGTCTTCTGCTTCTGTTAGATCCCTTCCATTTTTGTCCTTTATCATGTTCCATCTTTGCAGAAAATGTTCCTTTAATATCTCCAATTTTCTTTAACAGAGCTCTGGTTTTTCCCTTTCTTTCAACTGTTTTTTCATCTCTTTCTTTCAACTGTTCATTTAATTTTCCTCTTTTTCTTTCAACTGTTCATTTAAGAAAGCCCTCTTGTCTCTCCTTGTTATTTTTTGGAAGTCTGCATTCAATTTTCTATAACTTTCCCTATCTCCCTTGCATTTTGTTTCCCTTTTCTCCTCTGCTATTTTTAAGGCCTCGTTGGACAGCGACTTTGCTTTCTTGCATTTCTTTTTCTTTGGGATGGTTTTTGTTGCTGCCTCCTGTACAGTGTTACGAGCCTCCATCCAGAGTTCTTTAGGCACTCTGTCCACCAAATCTGGTTCCTTAAATCTGTTCTTCACTTCCACTGTGTATTCATAAGGGAATTGGTTTAGATTATACCTGACTAGCCCAGTGGTTTTTCCTACTTTCTTTAGATAGAGTTTTGCTATAAGAAGCTGATGATCAGAGCCACAATCAGCTCCTGGTCTTGTTTTTGCTGACTTTATAGAGCTTCTCCATCTTAGGCTGCAGAGAACATAATCAATCTGATTTCGGTATTGCCCATCCGGTGAAGTTCATGTGTAGAGTACAGTCGCCTCTTGTGTTGTTGGAAAAGAGTTTGTGATGACCAGCTTGTTCTCTTGACAAAACTCTATTAGCCTTTGCCCTGCTTTGTTTTGCACTCCAAGGCCAAACTTACCTGTTGTTCCTTTTATCTCTTGACTCCCTACTTTAGCATTCCAGTGCCCTATAATGAGAAGAACATATTTCTTTGGTGTCAGTTCCAGAAGGTGTTGTAAGTCTTCATAAGGTAAAGATAAAGATTCCCCTTGACGTTTAGTCCAGTTGTGTCTGACTCTAGGGCGCGGTGCTCATCCCCATCTCCAAGCCGTAGAGCCAGCGTTTGTCCAAAGACAGTTTCCGTGGTCACATGGCCAGCGCGACTAGACACGGAACACAGTTACCTTCACACCATGATGGTACCTATTTATCTAC